TCTTCCTTTCTCTTTCCCTTCCTTCTCCTCCTGCCTCCTTTCCTTTCTACTTCTTTTTTTCTTCTCATCTTATCTTATTCAGGCTCTCTCTTTGTTATCCAGTCTGGCCTGGAAGTCTTGGACTCAAGTGATCCTTGTGTCTCAGCCTCAGCCAAGTGCTGGGACCACAGAGTCTGGCCACTGTGTCTGGGCTTAGCTATATGCTTTACCATGATAACAATAACTATTAAGACTATAATGACTACTTTTTTTTGCACCAAATGATATCAGGACAGGTTTGGCTCTCTTGAGTTGTGGGGATCGAACCACATCAACCTCAGCCTGACTGCTTTGTTGAAGCAGCCTCTTAAAGAACTGAGCTAAGGGGCAGGCCCCCAATATAATGACTACTTCTCAGAATAGTATTCATTATAAAGGGCAACTGTTCCCACGCATTACAGAGAGAGATAGAGTCAGACAGACAGGGACAGAGAGGAGAGGGAGAGGGAAAGAGGGTGACAGGAGAGCCAGAGCTAGAGCAAGTGAGTGAGGAGAGAGAAAGAGGGAGGGAGCTTGCTGGCCTACTAGAGATTTAGGAAGAATTATAAAACAGGTTCTGATTAACTTTAATACACACAGGGTGTGGAGAATTATTCATCTGATAAGTATTTTTGTACTTTTACTAGTCTACATTCTGGATATACAGAAGTGACAAAGCAAACAATAATCTCCAAATTCAGGATAGACTTTTTCTTGTTGAAGAAACAAACAAAATAATTATATTAACTGCATAGCAATATTGGAAGATAATAAGTGATTTAGAGGAGGAAAAAAGCAGAGAAAGCGGATAGAAAGTTCTTTGTATCTGGGAAATGAATCTTTGCACAGGGAAGCCAAGGAAGACTTCAGTGAAGAGCTGTGCTTTCATTGTTCAATAACAAGGAGGAAAATATCACAGGCTGCAGAGTCCTGCAGTGGAGTGTATGGCCTCCCAATTTATATTTGTATAAATACTTCAGAGCCTCAAGTATGAGCTGGGTCCACTGTTGCCTCCACTGCTTTACTGTGCTGCACTGTAGGTCAGTATGAGGAAACAGGAAATCTAAACTTCACAGACCCAAGGAACATTCCTGATCCATTTTCAACTCTACTTAATTTTGAATACAAAAACTTCTTCATTGAGTTAATAAATACTTATTGACTATGTACTACACCTAGTGAATATTTGAAAAACTGTGTGCTTTCACAAAGGAGAAATATTGAGAGAAGGTTAAATAGCTAGTGCTTGTCTTGCAATTATTAGCTGAACTGAGTTCTGTTTCTGGCATTATATTGCCCTCTGGTGGCTATAGTATGTTATATTATTTGCTCTTAAATTCTGGAATTCAATGTGCTTTGCTGAAATAACTTGATTACTGTATGCTAACACTGAATAACAATACGGACATTCAAATAAATTATCATTGCACTCTATGTTCTAAGTCAAAGATTCCATAAAGCACTGACTTTATGCTATTTTTATTAGGAAAATAATGCCAGTATGGTGAAAATATACACCTGCATGGGAGAGATGTGTGATTTTTCCTTTAGTGTGGATTAGAGTAATGGATCAGTGTTTCCCAATTTATATTTGTATCAGTGGTGAATGTGAGAATTCCAGCATAATTCAAGTAATACTGCCATGAATTAGTATAATTAACATAGAACAGAAAAAAAGTGTTTTAAATATATGGTCCTGGAAACTAAAGGTCAACACTACTTAAAACTAATACCATTGAACACTGTCTACTGATATTCCATTTTCTTAATATTATGGGCGTGTTCCTTTCAGAATCATAGGAGTTGAACATCTGCATGGAAACACAAAATCATACTTTTAGGATGTTTCATTTCATTGAAGACTTTTGTAGAAGGTGCTCTGAGAGATATCAAAGAAAAAAATTGTCTTTTTCTTAAAGGCTGATAACCTATGTGTCAGCCCTTTGCTACAAAGGCTATGCCACCTATGGAAATTTGGCTCTGATCTCTAGTACTTAGTCTCTTTATCATGTCTTTCTCATGTATTAGACTCATTAATCAACTCTTTATCATACATTGCACTTCCAGAAATCTTATCAAAATTTTCAAAATTAATACAAATTTCAGAACTGTCTCCTCCAAAATTCTTTTTTTTTTTGTATTTTAGGGAAGGGTCTAGAGGATTTTCAGGGTCTCACTACTAGATTGCACTCAATCCGACTGTTTACAGCCTCTCAAATGCTGGGATTACAAGCACACACCACCACACCCAGTCTCAATCACAATCTCAGCACGCCCCAGGGACGAGGCCAGCACAGCAGGCACAGTGATTGAACCCCAAGCCCCTGAGCCTACTTGCAAGCACTTTAATCCACTGAGCTATTTGGCTGGCCCTGAGAGCTATTTGGCCTGCCCTTAATGTTTTGGGATAATAAAAACAAAACATATTCATTGCTATGATTTGGATTTGAGTTTCCAGTTAACCTCATTCTCAACTGTTTACTCCTTTTGCTCTGATAATTTGGGGTCACTTGAAAAATATACCAGCACAGTTTTACAGCTATGTCCACAGCTCCTGGTCAAGCATTGCTTTCTGTTCTGCTTTTCCCTGGCATTGTGCACAAGTGCCTTTCTCTGAGGCACACACCACGAGCAATGTCACACTAGGGCTGTTTATTTCTGCTTCTGTCCCAACCTCTGTTGTTATACTCTGCTTCTATAATAGAAGTTTTCGACCCCTTCACCTGGGTAGATTGTCTAAATGACTATACCTCTAACAGATTGTATTAGCTAAGGTTAGACAGGTTAGACTGGAACATTAACCTCTGATGCACAAACCCAAATCTCAGTATTTGGTACCATAGATCTCATTTTGCTTTCACATAACGCTCCAACAAGATGATCATAACTGATGGAAAGTTTTATTCAACATTTTGTTTCATGACTAAGCATTTTTCCATCTTGCATCCCAGTCACATCTAAAGCCCGGCCACCAGCACCCAGACAGCAGAGTGGTGAGAAAAGTGCACAGTCCTGAGCAATGTAATCCCAGGTTCACATGTTAGATCTACTCCCAGTCATAAGTCATCAGATGGATGCATTTGAAAATCTAGACGTCCGCAACAGCTTTTACTAAAGCAGATCTCTTCAAAACAATTTGTTTCTTGCAAGCTGTTCATTTTCAAGAGAACCTGACCAGAGCAAAGGATAAGATACAGTCCTCTCCCAGGGAAAGTTTGCCTCTAGGAAACCAAGGCAGGCTGTGGACCAGCCTGTTTCTACACTAAGAAGAATCAGATAGAGACATCAGAGCATGCACCTTTATTCCCAGATTTAGTTATATCAGAAAAGCATTCCACTCCCTGCAATGAGCCTGCTTTCAGAGGTGGGACTAGAACATGTGTGTGGATATGGAAATACATATGTGTCTATACCAGAATTCTGAGTTACATATTCTATTTGTATAAACTGTTGAAAGTTTCAATATATTCACTGTAATGTATTTTATAATTCCCATGGTAATGTAATTAAGATAATTGTATCTTTATATGATGCTTTCAAAGTTACCTTACTAAAAATTACCACCAAGACATTACAATTTTCATCAATGTTTATAATGAACGCCACCCCTGCAGACCCAGCCCAGGACCGGCTTGTGAGGGAGACCTTCCTCCATGCTCTCGGGACCCCTCCAGACCCAGTACAAGCCCAGGCGCAGGGAGTCTGTTGGAGACCTTCTGCACTCCCCTATGCCTGCTGGACCCCACTGAACACACCACAGGCCCAGAGTGTAAGTGAGAACATCCAACATGCTCTCTGGACACCTCCAAACCTGCAGACCACCCTGGCAAGGCTTGTAAGAACTTCCACTATGTTCTTGGGACCCCTCCAGACCCAGCCAAAGCACAGGACTAGATAGTGTGTGGGAGAGCTTTCGCACTCTCCCTTGTGCAAGAAACAACTAGAGAGGGCAGGGGCTGTCCCCTCAGGAATCCAAAGTTCTCAGAAGGCTGACAGCCACTACACTCCCAGCATTCTCCAGCACAAGTGTGACCCTGCCACACTTCCTCACAGTTTTCCAATGAGCCCTGAGCTCAGGGAAATATTGGAGCAGCACATCCAAAAGTGTATCACTGAATACCAGCAGGACCTGCTCTGCAGGATCCAAAAGCCTGCAGAACTCACATGGCCTTGGTGTGACTTGGCCCATTCTTGTCAAGCCAAGGGCAAGCCTCTGCCCTCACTTTCATCCATGTCTACAGCTGAAGTCAGCCAGGATAAGTCTCAGCACTCTCCTTCATCCCTGTCTATAGCTGAAGGTAGCAAAGACAATCCTGGGCTCTCTCCTTCACCCGTGTCTACAGCTGAAGGTAGTAAGGACAAGCTTGGGTCCTCTCTTTCATTGGTGTCTATTGCTAAAGGCAGCAAAGACCAGCCAGGGGCCTCTCCTTCAACCCTGTCTATAGCTGAGGGTAGCAGGGATGTACAGGAGGTGAGGTTCCAGCTGAGGCAGGACTTGGGCAAGAGTCTTGCTCATATTCCAGGTGAGGCCCCAAAAGATGTCTCCAGAGCCTTAGGAAGCTCGCCCAGCGTGGTTCAGGGGATGATCTTGGAGGAGTCAGAGAGAAACCTGACAAGGTTCACAGAGATGGAGAGCAGAAATGACTCACCAGGAAGCATGGAGAAGAAACACACCGAAGTCATGCTCACAGAGCATTTGGGAGTGAAGACGGGGCAGATGCACATGGGGCTGATTCCCCTGAGAGTGTGACCGTCCTGGTTTACTGTCAGTGGTGCCTTTCTGCCTCTGACACCCACATGGAAACCAGAAAGTCACTTTCCTCCAGGGCTTAGGAAACCCGTGTTTGTCCCGTCCAGAAGTTTTTCTTCTCCAAACCATGCACCCTGCAGGACCTTGTGATACACATCACAAGGTTTAGGGTGAGGCACAGGTGGGGCCTCCGACTCAAGCTCCTAAAGGCCATAAACATCTTCAGGCCCACAAAGGCTCCACTCTGTCACCCTTTCCACTGTTTGCCTGTCCCTCCTCATCTGGGATGTCTTGGGCTGACTTGACAGTTGAGGATGCCATTTTTCTGGGGAAACTACTTCAGGCATTTCTAGAGGAGGAGGTATAGGTCAGGGAGTCTGTCCCTACCCTGAGCAGTCTCTTTGTCTCCTCTCTCCTGTGTAAGGAGACTGAGCAGGCCCAACAAATAACCCTCTTGGTGACAGCCAGGCATCCTCAGAGGCCCCCACCAAATAGACAGGAGAGCACAGGGCCTTCACAGCAACTCACACACAGCATCTTGGGCAGAACCTGTGAGAGCATGACTGTCCTGCAGGTTGGCAGAGGCAGCCTCAATGTGCCCTTGCTTTCTGGAACATGTGTGGCTCACAATGCAGGGGAGCCAGGCATGCAGGCAGACATGGTGAGCAAATTCCAGCACACAGAGATCAAGTACTAAACAATCCTGAAGTCTGTGTCTCACATATCCACCTTCCAGACAGTTTGGCATCTGCCGTGTCCCAGTGCCATCACCACAGCACCCCCTTAGGGGATATGTTAGCCTCACACATGTCAGATGGTCTAATAGCAGACAGAGGAAGCAGCATGAGGATTCCACAGCATCAGCAAGCACAGAAGAACCAAAGCAAGATGTTGGCTCCTGCTTACAAGCAAGAGGTCAGGTGGAGGATGAACCCAGGGAAACCTGAAGGTAGGCGGGGAGCCTTGCGGACCTCAGAGCCCACTCAGGATGGGAGAAGAGAAGATATCTTAGAGTGGAAGAAACTTCAACTGCTCAAACAAAAAAATACCAGTCCACTCAGAAGGCTACTTCCTAACAAGTGTGAAGAAATTTCTACAGTGGATTTCACCCAAGAAAATAATCAAAGGACAGGAAGACCACACCAGAAGAAAGGCACCTCAGGCATTGCCCAGAGCCAGAGGAAAGCCCAATCCAGACCACGTGTGGAGCACAACACTGATGAGGCTCAGCTGTCCATGACTGCAGTTGACCAGATGCTAGAAGCCAAATTGATGCTTCAGCATGAATTCTGTGCACAGAAGTTAAATGAGAACAAAAGGAAAGAGGGACAAGACTCAGTCTCTCTCAAGTTTCTTGCTTCTTGGAGCACAAGACAATGCCAGGATGTGCAGCCACCCCTAAGTTCCACAGCCGTCCTATAAAGGAGAGGTACTCCCATGACTAAGAGTCCTTGAAAACTAGACAGCGCAGTGCTGAACATCAGGGCCAGAGGCTCCCTCACCTCTCAGTCCCCATAAAGCTTATCCTGGTCAGCCCCTCCCAGCTTGGGTCCCCTGGGACCAGGGCACCAGGCCAGCATCATTGCCTGAGGCACTGTCCCCTTTGGAAAGGCATCTTGGCTGAACAGCCGAGAACAGAGCCAGGGGAGTCAGTGGACATGCAGGTTGTGCCACACAAAGGCTGGGAGTGGCATGATCTGCTTTCTGTGGTCAGTGATGGTCCAGGAGGAGTCGCTCTGTCCTCACTGTTTCTCACATGGGTTTTCCTTCCTGTACACCTTGGGCCTCATGCAAAACCAGCAGGGCTCAAGAGGCAGGGAGAGGAGCGGCCATTCCTCCAAGAGCATTTCCTGCACTGTGTGCCACACAAGGCAGCCACAGGCACCCTGCCTAAGGCTTCAATCCAGGGGTCGAGTGTCCTTCAGCAAGGACAGCTTATTGGGACATGTGAAGGGACCCTGCCCCCATCTGCAGGTGTGGATTGTACCTGGGGTGGAGGCAGAAGTAGGCACCCACCCCTGGGATCTGGCTGGTGGTGTTGCAGGCTGCCCTGCCACCAAGTCCTTTCTCAGGCACATGGATGTCTGTGTCCATACCCAGTGTGGACCCAGCCATGTGAGGTGCCAGTGCTGGTAGAATGGTCTGGGTTCTGTGGCACAGAGTGACCCTGTTCCCAGTGGGGACTGTGACCATAGAATATGCTATACCTGGGTGCTTCTGGTTTCTCTGGGGTTCTAAAGTGTGTTCTGGTAAATAGAGGAGCTGCACATGGTCCCATTGCTTCTGCCAGCATCAGTGCCATAAGCTGGCTAGGCCAGATGGGCCAGGTGGAATACAGAAGTAGCGTGCTCCTCCGTCATCCTAGTGCTCAGTCTCCACAAGGGACCATGAGGCCTGTAGTGCAGACATTGGAGACACCTCAGATATCCTACAGAGGCAGCTCATAGAGAAAGCTCATCACCGTGTGTGTGTGTGTGTGTGTGTGTGTGTGTGTGTGTGTGTGTGTGTTATACACTGAGATCCCCCAGTCTACTCACAAGACACTCACATAGCTCTGAGTTCTTGTGTCAGTTCAACAGAGACCACTTCTTCCCCCTACTTCCACCCAGACCTCTGGGTATCACACAGAATTCTTCCCAAGACCACACAAGGTCTCTCAGTGTAATCTGTTTTACTTAGGCAGGAAAGAGGAAAAGATAGAAAAGAAGACAAGAGTCAGGTTAGGTTGTAGCTGATCTGACTGGCAGGCAGAAGGACTCCCCATCAACAGTAAGGGTCTTTATTTGTATCTTTAGGAAGTTGCAAGACACAAGGTTGCCTAGTGATTAATAGCCCACAAGGTCCAGGCAGGAGGTTTTATATCATGACTGAGGTAACTTGACTGCTTTAGGCAGTGAGGCTTCATCCTGCCTCCCACACAGGGTCAATTCCAGCTTTAGCAGCTCCACTCCCAACAATCACCAGATTTCACAGGCTCCCCACTGTCTTCACCTAGAGATGTGTCAGAGAACTTAGGCACAAACTAGAGACCATATATGAAGACCCCAGTCTGTTAGTAAAATACAGAGACAGGTTCAACAGAAACCTCTCAGTTGACACAGAGACCTTCCACACTCCAGAGATCTCTCACTGCTTTTAAAGACCTCCCAGTCAGCACTGAGTCCACCTCCCAGAGACCTTGCACAGATTGGCAAGTTACTCTACAGTTACTGCTGAAACCTCAGAAAACCCTGAGACTTGTCACAGACTTCCCACTACATCTTGAGGGCCCCTCCTGCACAGCTTAGCATGTCCCTAATACTGAAGTCTCTGCAGAGACTGCCCACAGAGGTCTCGCAGGAACATTAAAGTGCTCCACAGTGCTCAAGTACAGTGAGTCTTTCCATTCATTCATTCACCCACTCACCATTTGCAGCATGCTTACAATAAAACCAAAAATATAATACATGACTTATATGTTAGCTTTTACAGTCCTGCAGGGAGGTTCATTACAGATAAAAGTGAGAGAGAGGAAATAACAAGCCTGGGAATATAAAGGTAGAAAATGACAGAGGAGGCTCGGCCCAAGCAGCCTCACTCTGTATCTGCTGTGCCAAAGACCTCCTGCTCTCCTGTACCAAGTTTTTATTTATAATCTTATGAACAAGTCAATACTTCCCAGTTGTCTGCATTTCTTTCTATTCTAACAGGTCATGTATATAACAGGGTCACTTTGGATTCAATTTTATGTGGCTAAGGAGACAACTCAAAAAAGTGAAAAAAAAAACCTGTGTGTAAATGATTATTTAAGTACAATGCTTCCTGAAACTTTCCAGTGAGTTGAGGACCCAAGGGGAAAATGAAAACAAAAACAGTATGTGTCCAGGCTCTGCTAGACACAAGCCCCGTGATCTTCAGCAAGACATTTGGTCTCTGTGATCCTTAGTCTCATCTATAATGCTGAACTTATAAGGTGAACAAGGAAGCTATAAATAAATGGTATCATCTGCCTCCCAGGACTAGTGTGACAATCACACAAAGTAATGCATGTGAAAGTGCACAAGATAAGCATAGGTGATACCATATTATTAAAACAGTGTTCATTTTAATTTTTTGCAGAATTGCTTTTATTTTTAAAATCAAAGACCAAAAATAAAATGCAGAAAAAAGAGGAGACTATATTTCAATAGTTTTGTTTCAAGGCTTGTTTTTTATACGTTAAGTAAAAGCCAGAAAATGGATCTCAAGTTCTCCTCTCAGAGAAAACTAACATCACCCTGGTGTCCTGGGATCTTTCCCATTTGTTTCACTGAGCTGTGATGGTGGTCCTACTGGACTGAGATAGGCAAGTCTGAGGGAGAGGAGGCTGAGAGGAAAGAGCTCACTCATCACTAGTACCAAGGAGCTCTGGGAAATCTTTTAAGTTTCTCAGTCATTGCTTCTCAGTGAGGTTCCCTGAGCCAGGCACTGGATTCGAGATGACTCAGGCTGCTTCCTGATGCCATCTTCTGTGGACTGGTTGCACACACAAAACCAGCTAGCAAGAAAAAAATCTACCAACATCAATGCCTTGTTCAGGTCAAGGATAATACCATGTGCTTTCGTTCACATGGAGATTAAAGTGAAACAACAAAACTATGCTGTTTCATTTCTTTCTGTAACATCAAATTCACATCACAGATGAGACACCTCAACTTTCAAAGTATGATGTAAGTATATATTTACAGTTCTGTAAGAAATAACCTACATGTATTTTTGCTCTGACATAAGTATTTCCTGCTTGGATATAATAAAAAGAAATTAAAATGCCTGCCACATTTCTACCTTATTTTTCACTTCCTCCTTTGCTACAAACTCATAAGTTTGCCAGGGCTTTGGCTGTCAGTATTCTCCTTGTTTCTGTACTTACTTCAGACTGCAAATTGGTCTGTGGCACTGCTTCAGGCAGATCTTTGCTATCCTGGACATCAGGTCCAACCAGCACCTGTGCCTTTGACTGGAGTCACAGTACAGAGGTGTGCAGTGAGTCTGGCCCTCTTCCTTGCCAGAGTCTGGGTTCTAGCCACCATAAGGCTCACACTGACAGTGGGCCTCTTGCTGGTGAGAGAGATCTGGGTTCTCGGAGACCTTTGTAAAGGTAGCTGTAATGCATTCCCCTGGGTTCTGTGAACCTAAAACACCCATAGAGAAGGTTCACTCTATTGTATTTCCTTTGGAATGTCCCTCCTTTGGCAAAAGAGTGATGCATCTTTGTGTACTTCTAAGTCACCACACTTAGGCTGGTTCCAGAAAGAAAATGTACCGTGAACCAATACTTCCTTTCTGAGATCCAGCTCTTGAGACTGTGGGATGTATCAGTGGCTGCTGGGCTTCTGCTGCTGAACTTTGTGGCCCAGTATGTCCTGGGCAGGCACTGTCCAGGGAGTCTCCCCTTGCCAAGGAGGGGCTCTGTTCTCTTCAAGTCAGAGTCACTGTAGCTAAGCCACCTCTTCAGATGATTCAGGGGCTGAAGGCATTCAACACTTCCAAAAAGGGTCAAACTCTTGATCACTGGAAAGAATCACATGTTGATTCTCAAACTCTGTTGCCACTGCAGTAGAATTAAATGGGTCAGCTATGTCACTGTGGTGTCTCAGTAACTCTTTATCCAGGCCCATTGTGACTATCTCAGAGACAGTCATTTCAATTTCAATGGAGTCCAGACCCTTCTAATCTACTCACTACTGGCATATTCTCAGCCAAGGTTAGTAGCAGTTTGCAAACTATGTGAATGATTTTTCACATGTATTTTAGAAGTTGTGCCTCATAATTATGAATTAGATGTCACTGGTGAATTAAGTCTTGCACTAAGGTGACAGTGTGTGTTTTTGGGTCACAGCAAGTGAAGGCATTGTGGAGAGGAGTCAGAAACTGAGTAAATTCCTGTACACAGAGCAGCTGCCCTCTGATTTGCATGGAAATGGGTCACTTTGCCCTGCAGAAATATAATTGCTTGATCAGCAATCATTCTTGTTGCAAACACTAAATTACAGGCTATTAGAACATCTGTTTGGCCAAGCCCTGCATGACAGTGGATGGCTACTTTTCCTTCTTGTAAGGCAAACGTCATTACTTCACCATATCTAAGATGGCAGTGAGAGATGCTACACCACAATTCTTCCACCTAAATCATAGAAATAAATGCCAACCTCCATGAATGCTTCAGGCAGGTATGTGAAGCCAATTTCTTGCTCCAGAGAGTTTCCCCAGCTAACATGTTCACCAGGTTGCTGTAGGTTTATGATTGTTTTTATGCTGTGACTGTGGAACTGCTCAATGATGTGGTACTTCTGCAAGAGCTCAGAAGATGGGCGAGCCATTGTCAGGATACTGTCAGTGACCCAAGATGAGTAAACCCTCTTAATGGCTTGTGTGTGCTTGCTCCAGTGGTTTATGTTCTTATA